GCTGTGGCATAGCAATGAGTGGCTGCGCTAGGGGCCGCGGGTTCGAATCCCGCACGGAACAAGCCTACGGCCTACAAATAATTGTTACGGGTCTGGATTTTATACCTTGTGCAATTTATGTTTGTAAACTGCCTTCATAATATAGGAAAAAATCCTAGTGTGTGTGTGTGTGGGGGGGGGGCAACGTTTAAAAAAAATTGAAGCAACTTACTTGCTAAAAAAATCACTGTGGGTGCAATTCTTTGACTGAAAACTTGAGCTGCATATTTCACCTTCATTTTAGGCAACTTATCTTGTTGCATATGATAAATTGTCAATTTGTTTAACATTCTTAAATCATCTTCTTCAACATAAATTTCTAAAAGCATTTTTAAATGTTACCATTTTGCCGTCATGACTTCCCCATTGAAAACGAATCTTAAATTTTTACTAATCCAATTATTTCTTAGTCCCTTTAATAAATGGGGAGGAACATAAATATAGAATAAAGGTATATTATCAATTTTTATTATACTGCTTTTGTAGACTTTGTTATGCCTTAAATATTTTTCTTTTTACCTTTTAAAAGAGAATTAATTGCAGATACATTAGATGTGCCTTGGTCATAAATTGTAGCTATAATAATTAAGCCACATTCTTTTAATCTTCTAATTATATCAATAAGTAATGCTTTCAATATATGGCTTTTAGTTGCACTATGGCAGAACTGGTAACAAATGTTGTATTTGCTCTTTATCCATTTTATCATTAAAACAAGACAATGGTATGCAATTTCTCAGTGTCTCTTTCAAAACCAATTATCTGATCAATACTCAGATCTGATCATACACAGTTATATATATTATATAAGGCAATCTCATTAAACATTAAGTTGCATAGCCTTTGTTCAGGTGTCATTTTATACATTTTTTCTTTAAATTATTTAGAATATTTTCATTAAATCCTGTTTCAATCAATATATTTTTACGGATTTTCAGTAGAGTATGCTTGGATGGTAGTATCAAAATGTTGGTTAAAAAGTTATAAGCCCTAGAACTTTGTTTAGATATTGATAATGCTAAATTTTTCTTTTTTATAGCTTTTATAGCAGTAATTAACTTACGTGAATAATCGTTTCAATTTGATAAAAACATGAAAAAGAAAAGAAAAACTTGAAAATTTTTTTAGACTGAGTATATCTGATATTCCTGTTATAAAAACTGCTCTTTGGCTGAAATACTGATAAATTGGATCGGGAAAAATTTTAGTTAAATTTCCTTACATAGCCTAATAGTATTAATGAATTAGAGAAAACATCTTCGCAAATAAGCAAATATTTTTGATTAATATTTCTATTATTATAGTGGACTTTGGTCTAGACCTTTTGAAGAATTACGATTCCTTAGTACATTATTTAGAGTTATCTCTTAACGTATAGACAGCGAATTAAGCGCCCTAATATCAATGTCGATTTGACGACTTAATTACAAAGTATTGAACTTTTACACTATTAAAACTTAATTAGAATGTATTTTACATACTAACCTTCCATAAAACATCTATAAATAACAGTAAAAAAGGTGTTAAAAACCGTTGTTGGTTGCGTAGTTTAAAAGAAGTAAGTAGGTAAGGCGTTATTTTGAAAAATGGAAAACTACGCACTAATTTAATTTAATACTGACATAATAAAAGTAAAAGAATAATAATAAAAAAAATACGTGTGGCACTCGGTGACTGCCGCGGTAAAGCTATTGCATAGCATTTTTATCAACTTATGCAATTATAATTATTTATTTATTTTATTTATGCAGTAGCAAGTCTTTGATATTAAATCAAGTTACACTTTTTGAGCGTGGTGACCGATAAGAAAACAATTTTTTTTCTCTTATTGAATAAATGAGAAGTTAATATTGTTTAAAATATTTTTAATATCTTACAATACATGTAGGTTATTCAGGAATTTTTATCATTGAGTTAGCAGCTAGTGTACACGCATACGTCTAGTCGCACGCACACAAACACCGTGCCGAAGTCTACCGAACTGAAAGGACGTTAGATGATGCACGGCTTTCAACGCCACACCTCCGTGCCCGTCGGAGTGGGGAGCGTGAGGTTTTTTTTAGTTACGGAATTTCTGGATTCGGTCCCCGCGCTCAAGGCCCGCGATAGAAGCTATGCAATAGCTTAAAAGTAGTCAACAGTCTACGTCCCGTAAAATAAAAAGTGTCGTACAAACTTTAACACCTTATTTCACCCCGAGGGTTTGTATTTTACAAAATCTTATCTTAGTTACCTACGTAATAAAATGAAACTATGTTGTAATATTTTTATGCTTCTACGTTCTGCGGTTTGAGATTTACGCTGGTACTATTTCAAAGCGTGGTCTTACCCCGGTCGAGCCGACTCATTCGTGCTACAGCTACAACGTAATATAGCTTCAGCGTGGCTCTACCATGTAATATACAGGGTACCTTTATAAGTTTCAAGTTAATCACCCCATAAAATTAAAAGGCTAATATAAACTATAAACTCTATATCATTCCCATAGATCCATTTTCCCAGCCGCCAAATTTCGTGAACGCACTACGCGGCAAACGTCCCGATACCATCCACACCATCTGGATGCTTGGCGGTCCAACATTGTACGTTTCAAAAGAAGTTTTCTTCCGCGTACAACCTCTCTGTGGAAAAGTTTACCACCAGCGATTTTTCCGGACCGATACGACCTGGGGACCTTCAAGAAAAGAGCGTACTCCTTAATAAAGGGCCGGCAACTCACCTGCGATTCCCCTGGTGTTGCGGTTGTACACGGGCGGCGGTAGTCACTTAACATCAGGTGAGCCGCATGCTCGTTTGCCCCCTCTTCTATAAAAAAATAGAGATTGAATATTCCTAAATCATTTTTTAGTGGATGTCTTCTTTATAAAAGGCAGCTACTGTCAAATTTTCGGATTACTACGTAATGCGGTTTATGCTGTGCTTTGATAATTTGCAATGATTGTGCAATGATAGATGGATTTAGGATATCCTCTTTCGTAATTACATTTATATATATATATATATATATATATATATATATATATATATATATATATATATATATATATATATATAAATGTATATTATCTGCCGCCTTACACATACTACATAGTAGTTTTGCTTTATCGTGCCCTGCAGTGGGCTGTAAGGAGCTGTTGAATAATTAGTTTTGCACATTTAAACTAGGTTTTGAGTTAGTTCAAATAGGGCCCCAATTTAATTTTTGCCCCATGGCCCTTGGTTATATAGCTACAGTGGCGTAGCTACAGTGACATGGTCACTCATATAAAGTAAATAAAATAAGACACATTATCATGTTTACCAAATTGCGATTTTGAAAAATAGGTTAGTCGTTAATTCTTTTTAAAACTGATTTGCGAAAAAAATTGTTTTTCACTTTCTGTGTATCCTTTATGATAAATGTGGATAGATTTAGAAAGTAATCACCACATAGTGCCTAATAGTGCTTTACTCTCGACACGTCAAGGTCAAGTAATTTTGTGATTTAAAATGCTTCTATGATAATATCAGTAGCCGTATATCAAGAAACCACCCTAATTAATCCATCTTATATTTTCTAAAGAATAATTTTATATTGCTACTTTGAAAAAAAAAAACGCTTCGCAATAAATTTAAGTGAGCGTCTGGATGTTGGTTTTATATGTGGTCACGATAACTACCGAAAATATTGACGTATCGGGACCCGGCTTTTTTTTTTAAATAGGTTCAGAATAACAGCAACTGGTTATTTCATATCTATAGCCTATGCGTAGATAGATAATAAAATTATTTACAACTTTTATAAGTTTTATTTTTATTAATTATTTAAAGGCGTATTCATTTTTATAGCACTTGATAGGCAAAGACAAATTTATAAATTTTATACTATTTTATACACTACAATTTTATGCTTTGTGTAATCGAATTATTTTGGTAAACATTATTAACTTTTCCGTCTAGGTAACACTACCTGTTAAAATAACAATATATGTTTTAAAAGTCCGGAATACAATTTATTTTTTCAACTAATTAAATGCCGTGTAGTGGCGGTGTAAGAATACCCACTACCCCATATCGTCCCGTGGGTGTCTTAAGAGGCGACAGAGGGAACTATAACGGAAGATGGGCAGCAGCATCTTCCTGATAACAACTTAAAATAATAAGAAAACTGCAGTTGACTATAAGCACACCAAGCGTTAACTAGGGCAAAACCTCCCGTCTGTGAGGCAATTTAGGGAGAAGGCCTGTGTTCAGTAATGGACTTTAATAGGTTTTAATGCCTGGATGGATGATCAAAATTAAACGAAACGCTCATGACGCGCGCAATTTTGGATTTTCACGTTATAAGGCGTGCAATAACCACCAAAGCCTCAAAATGTTGGTGGGTAAATTTTATTATAATATTCTTTACATATGTGATTCTTCTGTACGTTTGTTTGTCACTAAACACCTGCTTATTATCTGGTTATTTTGTGTGTATTTGAATGATGTTGATAGCTTTAAGTTAACAATTAGACCAGTTAGCAGCCCTTTTGTAGAGATCCAATAATCACCCGTGCGAAGTTGGGACGGATTGCTAGTTCGGTATAGAAAATCTAGACACACGGCAATGTGTTAGCTAAATTCGGAAAAGAACAGGAAGACGCGCACTGGCAGTGTGACACATTGACTGCCGTAGTGTAAATGAGAAAAATCACTAAAAAACTTTTTGATGAAAATAGGTGGGCAATATCAATACTTTAAAATGTATCTAATTTAGGGTTCAATCAGAAGCCGCGTTTAATAATTATTTCGAAAAAACTACATGAGGCCACCGGTGACCTACGTGGCGCCTTGATAGTAAAAATGTGAATTTCCGTTACGGGGCGCCGGGCCGGGCACTTCTCCGGTCACCCGCACCCCGCAGTCATCAGTTTGCGCTTGGACGGTGTGCCCGTGACGGACACTCGTGCTTTTTAATTTGTTAGATTTTGTGATTCAACATGGAGAATAGTAATGATTTAGACGCAAATTTTATAGATATTTCTTTAGATGATTTGCGCGACATTGAGTTACTGGAAGCTAGTATTTTTGATGAAATTGCTAGAAAAAATTATTTGAGTGAAAATAAAGAATCAAAGATTGAAGATTATAATATCTATCCTTCAAAAAAACGCAAACGTATGTTTATTCCTAGTGCATCTGAGAGTGAAAGTGATGACGTGGAAAAATTTGTAAATAAAAACATTGATAGATTAACGGCGAGTACGTCACAAAAATGGCTTCAACCAAAAGGAAATCAACCATCTGTTATAGCGTTTACAGAACTAACAGGTATATTATATTATTTTATTTGTTTGTTTTGTTTTTGGTTTGTTCTATTTCAAACTATAAGATATCAAATTTCATCAAGATTCGTTCAACCATTGTCAAGATTTTAGGTAACAAAGTGTTGCTTTTTTACGATTTTATTATAGTAATAGATAGATAGACGAGATATCTATATATAAATAAAACCGATGTGGCATAAATTGCCGCGAGCGCTACCGGGTTCGATTCCTAGGTCGGTAATGTTTCTGTGTTGATATTTGTACATTATATATCGGTCGGTTTATTCGTTCGGTCGGTAATGTTTTTATGTTGATATTTGTATATTAAACCGTATTATGATAAGGTATATATTTGTTTAATTTCAGATATGAGAGAACCACATACTACGCAACTTCGAAATGCTGCTCCAGGAGAATATTTTAGCCTGATGGTTCCGGATGAAATTTTCGAAGAAATTGCTATTCAAACCAATTTGTTTGCAGAGCAACAAGGACCTAGTGAAAAGCCTTCGTCTCGCTCAAATAACTGGAAAGCAACCACAAAAGTTGAGATAAAACTGTTCTTCGGATTAATCTTATATATGGGACTTGTTAAAATACCTAAAATAAACCTTTATTGGAGTACTGACAGGGTTTTTGGGCAAATCTTTGCTGCATCTGTTATGAGCCGTAACAGATTTGAATTACTATTGCAGAAACTGCACTTTACGAATAATGATACGGCTGATGTGTTTGATAGAATTTTCAAAATACGACCCCTTTTAGATAGTCTAAACAAAACTTTTAAAAATATATATGCACCTAAGGAAGATATTTGTATTGCTGAAAGCCAAGTGCCTTTCAGAGGTCGCATCATTTTTAGACAATATAACAAAAGCAAGAGGCACAAATATGGTATGAAGTTATTTAAACTTTGTACATTACCAGGATATACATGCAAATTGGAACTGTACGCTGGCAAAAATAATGAACTAGTGAATACCACACCTACAAGAGTGATAATGTCTATTTGTAAGCACATACTGGGCTGTGGTCACACACTTGTAACTGACAATTGGTATACAAGCTTGGAGCTGGCCAATGAACTACTCGATAAGGACACTCATTTGGTGGGTACTTTGAGGAAAAATAGAAGAGGTTTGCCGAAAGCGGTAGTAGACTCCAAATTAAAACCAGGCGAAGTAATAGCTATGGAGAATGAACGAGGAATATGCGTATTGAAGTGGAAGGACAAAAGAGACGTGCTGATGTTATCCACGAAACATTCTAAAGGATTTTCTAAAAAAAACTAAAAAGGGTAAAGTAATTCGCAAACCAAGAATGGTTTTAGCCTACAACAAAATAAAAAGCGCAGTTGATATGAGCGATCAAATGGCCGCATATTCCTCACCATTACGTAAATCATTGAAGTGGTATAAAAAATTAGGAATAGAACTTAAATTGAATACAGCGATTGTTAATGCATGGGTTATGTACAACGAAAATAAAAATAAAAGTGAAAGTATAGTACAGTTTAGAAGAGAGTTAGTGGAGTATTTAGTTGATGCAGGAAAGGAGGAGACCATAGAACCCGAAAGAATAGATAGACCAAAAAAGACTGAAACATCAATTATTGAAAAAAAGAGGGTAATGTGAGAAACACTCGACGATTTTGTTCAGAATGTTACAAAAACTGTGTGGCAATGTACGGTTCAAAATCAGCCAAAAATAAAACAAAGAAAGTAGCAACATTTTGTAAAGAATGTCCAAATGAACCATATTTTTGTTTAATCTGTTTCAATAAGTTCCATCGCTTCTTTTAATTTGTATTTTAGAATAATTTTTTACTTGTTTTTTACTTATATTTCACACATTGATAAAAATAAATCCTTGATTTTTGTGACAGTTACGTTTTTTCACTTACTTTCTTCATTTTTGTTCTTCACAATTCTCACAATTTCACACGCCGAAACCACGCTGAAGTAACAATCTAGAGCGCCGCTCCGGTCACTTGCATATACTAAATGTACGATAAACGTGGCCAGCGGCGTAATAATTGTGCCCGAAAACAGGTCTGTCTCGAGGTCACCGGTGACCGACACGGCGCGTAGATACAAGACGGGGTCCGGTCACCGGTGACCGGGCTGGCAGTCAACGTGTTAACACAAACCATTGTGAGCCACATTCAAACCTTTCTAAACTGAAACACTATTAGACTACACATTTACAAATTCTTCAACTTAATAGATCACATATGTACCAAGAATCATAAATTACGTTAATAAGCCTATTATAGTTGTAGAGTTATTAAGTTCTTAATAATGCCATTTTTATCATTTACTGACTCACTCATCGAAAATATAGGCCACTTATAGGTTACTTAGAAATTTGAAATTTGACATTACGATAGATTATTTGGCATATACAAAGGAAAAATATCTGAACTGAAAAATACGGATTGTTGATATTTGTATTAACAGGGGTTGACAAAGTTATTGGTACGGTTATACTCAATTGCGGTACGTATAACAGACTACACAATATTTATTACATTTATGGTTAAAATTAAAAATAGAATAATATTGGGTCATATATTTACTTAGATCAATAAAATGAGAAGACTTTTAATTCAAAAATGATCGATATCCTATCAAAAACGTAAATGTGAAATGTGGGCCAAGCTCGCTGCAAATAAAGTTCGGTGTTATCAGATTCGGCAATAAATGCGTTGAAATCTGAACTTCCCCCACCACGTTTTAACATTGATGTTTTTTGGTATATTACTTGCATTTGTAGCGGCGCTGCCGTCGCACCACAAGCAAAACAAATCGAAGCCTAAATCAAAGCCTTCTGCAAACTTCAGATCCTGCAAGCTTTCTAGCTTTACAAGGTTCATCGCAACACTGGAATAATGCTTCCTGTTCCTTCAAGCTACTATCTGTGCTAAAGTGTTCGATAGGGCTTTGAATCTTACTACTCGCCTCTGCTTCACAGCACTCTCGTAGATTACTTGCCTTCTTTTCGACTCACCGCAGACTACATGGCAATCTATAGCACTTCACATTCGTCGACATCTAGACTGCAATATCCACCTCCAGTCTGAACAAGGGGGTGATGTCTGGTCTGATATTCACCAGGATTATGAACGAAATATAAGATAGGAAGCGCATGTTTCGGATAGGATAGGACAGGGGATGCTGTCGTCGCGCTACAAGCAGACCTCTGTCACTCTTGCTACCTGCGTAGAATAATTACCTACAATCGCGAGGCACACCGGGGCTTCATACGCAGTCGGGGCTAGCATGTTGTAGGCGATTTAATGTTAAAGTTTTTTAACGCTGTTTACGTAAATAGTTTTTTTTTAAATACTTGTTGAAATAAATAGTAGTAATTACTTGTAAGATAAAAGAGTTGAAAAAGTTTTGATATCATTTAAAATATATATAATATATATAATACCTATTTGATAAATTATAATTGCAAAACGTCGTTCCTACTATAATTATTGCGTGGATGGATGCTAAATTACCAAAAAAAGTTTAAAATATAAATATGTCATTATTTTATTAAGTTACCGAAGGATTTTAGGATTTTAGTAAGAAGTAATGAAAGGTGAATTTATTTCATTTTTTTTTGTTAGATAGGTAATGATAGCAAAAAAAGGAATAAGTACCTAATAATTTATCTACAGAAGTATATTTACTTCACTATTCAAGTATCTACTCACAAACCTATACTTATCTTTTGTACTTAAAATATTTTAAGTTATAATAACACAAAATACTGAAATTAAAACTTTGTTTACTAACAAGATTTTAATTAAGTAGAATACGATGACATTTCTGTTAGGAATCGTATTTCAGGTTTATTTGTTGTCCCTTCCGGGCCGAGCATTATGATTCCCGACGAATTGCCTTGCAAGTTGCATGCGTTGGGCATCGCAGAACTCAAAAAGATGCAAAAATATGGTCAGTCGATCATAGTCGGAATATGTTCTTTACCTAAGTAACTTAACTTTTCGCTATGTATATTTTTACTCTTTTTTGACAGCCTTTAGTAACCACAGGAGGTCCGAATTGGGAAGGAGAAAAATGCAAAGTAATACGGACACTCGCGCGCAGCGATACAGTTTTATTTAACTTGCGTGCTCGATTTATCTAATGAAAAATTATTATGTAGGCTATTTAAGGCGCTACCTCCAGCGAACGACCTTGAGCGTTTGGTCTGTCGAAGCTCGCTACAATATATCGCGTAAGAAATCGCCAAAAGACGTCACCTACTGCTACGAACGTAGTATTATTTTTTCAATGTCAATGAACTCTTCTATGGAAATAGACACGGCGTACAATGATAAATGTATTTTAATTTTCTTTATTCGGTATATTAGTTGCATTATATTAGAATTATGTATTCTAATATGTATATTATCTAATTAATAAAAATGACTATTTTGATTATTTTTAACTATATACTATACTGCTAATATTGAATTAGCTTTTGATAGTGTAAATTATAATATTTGTCGAAATATTAATTATGGATTCGAACTTTACATGCTAATGGTGCTTCATTTTTGTTATTTTCATTTACTTACATATTGAAAATATACTTGAATAGTAGTTATTATTATTTTATTTAGCTACTGAATTTTAGGATATGTTTTACCTTGAGGTCAAATATAATTTTGAGGAGCAATAGTTATTACCTACTAATCTTTTATCTGCTATTCCTTATTTAGGAACAATATTAGTAAATTGAGTTTGAGGGAGATTTACTGTTTATAATGCTACATTTATTATTTTAATATTTACCTACTGGGTAGGTAATTATTAAAATAATAAGTATAGCATTAGTAACTAAATAGATATTTTTTTAAAATTTTTAAAATTAAAATTTTCGTATTTTTAAAAATTACTAAAAAAAAGGGTTTGAAATAATAGATTTTCTCACAAAAGAAGGGAACTTGAAAAAAAAAAGGAAAAAAAGCGGGACCAAAGCCAAGACGCGAACCACGGAACTCCGATATCACGCCCGACCGACATACCACCTGAGCTATAACGACCGTTAATGATTAGTCGAAATTTACCTTCTTATATTGTAGCAGTTTTTTTATTGCCTGAAAACATGGACAAAAGGACATTTTCTAAAAATAAATCCAAGCGTTCGTCGCTAAAATCGTTGGAGCCGTATAATTTTCTCATCTGGTTCGGTTATATAAATATTTAAATATATAAAAATTATAAATTAAAATGAAAAGATAATAAGACAACAATATAATAAAAATAATAACAATAAATATTATGGCGTAGGGAATTGACGACCCCATCGCCCGCTGACGTAACAGTTAAGTGACAAAACTGCTACGTCAACGCAGTCAGTCAGCGCCTTGCGAGAGGTGTGAGCGCCGTGCCTCGGCAGAATTCAGGGTGCAAAGGCCCGTTTGTGCTTATGGCCGTCCACGATACGGTGCCGGGCCTGGGCGTCTCCCGTTAATGGACGCCCATATTATGGATGATGGAGAAAAAGATAGTGCGCAAAGGGCCGCTGCCTGAAGGTCGCCAGGGCGCGTCTGGAGCTGGCGCTGGACGCGACAGCATGCGGGCCGCCAGCCGAGCGCGGGGTGTTGCAAGACCACCTAGCAGCCCCCCGCATCCATCATCCCCACCAGAAGGTTTGGTGTCGGCTGGGTCTTCTCGGACTCAGCAAGCGGCACCCGCCGCTGGTGGAGCACGTCGCATGCGTTGGTCTAAATCAATGAATGAAAACGCACTGCGGGCGTATTTTAGAGCAAAAGGGGAAGAAACTGGATGTTTGGCGTATCGGGCTCGGATGCATCGCTTTTTTGCAGAGCTGGAGCCATCTCTATCCGTCACTGAGCAAAACCTGGCAGACCGAGTTAGGTACATCCTGCGCTCCAACATATTTGGTGACGCCGAACTCGAGCGACTACGACGTGAGGCTATTCCTTCATCGAATGGAAATGCTACGGCTGGGAATGCGGCGCCACTAGATGCGCAACAAACTGCATATGTGGATGCTGCCGTCAACATTCCATTTGTGGCTAATTCAGACGATGATGGAATAGTCTCCCACAAACTAGAGAAAATGAGGAGCATATTGGAAGAGTCGATGCTGGAAACGCGCAGCATGCCTCTCGAAAATCGACCGCGACTTCCCCGCATACCCCTTAGCAAGCGAAATCGGGCTGTCGTGCGGGCTCTTAACCCAATGCTGGTGACCTATTTGGAAGCCAGCCGGGACCTTTGCGAGACGGATTCAATTCTTTTTGGCGCCGCACTGGCAGTATGCCGTA